ACCCTAATTCAGCACCAAAATCCCACACTCCCATCACCCGTGTGGTTACAAAATAAACATAAGATTCAAATGAATTGCTGAAAGGTCTGCTTGATGCAAACGGATCAAGTACAACACAGCATTAGGAAAAAATAAAAACAGATTTCAGGGAAGGAAAGTCCTGCAGAAGCTGAGGTGAGTCTGAACAGCCTCAAACTAAGCTCAGCTAAAGATATCGATCAGGAGCAGGCAGTAGGATCTCCAGAACTGCAGAACTTAAAAACTTATGCAAAAGGTTATAGCAAGTCTCTAAAGAGAGAAATTCACAACAAGCAAGACAGAAAGTAGCATAGCCAGCACCTCTGCGGGTGCAAAGAATCATTATTCTTCAGTGTAAGTAGTCAGAGCTTGTTTTATAAGAGCACGATATGACTGTGTTCCAAAGGGCTTTCAGGCCTTGCCTACACATTAATCAATATTAAAACACGTTGAATATTCTAGGCACACTTTTATGGATACAACTTTAGTAGTAGATCCTTCTTTTGATAAAGAAAAGGGAGTAACTGATGCAAGTGGCTAACCACTTGTCAGGGAAGTGGCATCCCAGTATCAGGAAAGAAGGAAGGGAAGAAAGTTCCCAGGAGCTAGCAGGTATTTCTCAGTATGAGAGCAAGCCTCAGACAGAACAAAATGCTGAAGAGCAGGAGGAGGCCTGCTGGAAACAGCAGAAGCATCGTAACTATTTCACAGCTCTCATTTCAACCTCAGAATAGTATTTCCTTATCACTTTCAGCTAGCCCTGCTTTGTCATTAGTCATTTTTTGAATGCTAACTTTCGCTGTTCCTTGGGAATTTAAACCAAATAAGGAATGAACAAACCACGGACAAGGTCAGACCCAAGCAAAATCTTGAAAAAGCCTGCTTACCGAGAACAAAATTCCACAGGATTATTGAAGATACATAAAGTGGCACCAGCTCGTTTTTTAAAAAAGATTGACAAGTCCAAAAAGCCTGCTCTACAGCATGGAGGGTCTTTTCTGCTTCGAGAGGAGGAAAGAATAACACCGAATAAAACAAAACCGCAGATGATGACTCCTAAATAATAGTGACCATTAGTAAGAAGCTCATCGCCTTACCCTGAGGCAGTCTGATGGTGACAACACAATTAAACAAAAGAAACATATTTCTGGTTATGTTACGGTTTGCTTAAAACCTGCAATTACCTTCTGCCATTGATGGACTTTGCATCAGCCCTGAAGTATCTGAGTCACGTGGACATCAGACCCATTTCCTACATCTTACACATATTTTTCAAGATCTAAAGCACTGTAGTCGCAAAGCCTTAACTCAGTGTGTAATGGCTTTAACATATATTTTACATCTTAATTTGCCATAATAACGTGGCTATAAGCTGCTGTCATTTGCTCCCTTTTTCTGACCTTGGAAATAAAATGTTTAATCTCCACGGGATTTTCCTGGCGAGAGACTTTAAATCAGTGTGTACGTACATACTTCTCCCTGTGTTTTTTCAATTTTCCTAAAATATTCTCATATGTGCAGACATGATGACTAGACATGTTTCAGTGGTGCTTGAAACTTGATACAAGCTGGTAATTTAACCATGTAATTGAACAATATTACAGAAAAACACGGAGTTTCCTAGCAACAAAAGGCCTTGGACATCAAGATGGCAGGCAGCAGCTAGCACTGCCATTGCCTGACCCAACCTGAAAAGAAATTAGGCTGAAGAATGCTCTTCTTCCTCTTGCAGCCAAACTGATCTAAGATACACGGCTACAGGGCTGACCTTGGCAGGTTTTTTTTACGTGCGTGTGCCATATTCATACACAGGGTCAAAAAATGTCAGATGAGAAAGGACATTTGGGTTCCTTTTGGGGTGTTTTTATGTTTTCCAAACGAAAACAAATGTGGAAAAAAAAGAATACTCTCTGTGCCCTCAAGTTTACCCCCATACAAAAGAAAAAGCTTCTTAATGCAAAGTAGCTGAATACAGCTTAGGTTCTTGGTGCAGAAATTCCTCGTTTGGGCATTTCTGGAAGACTGGGCCAGGGGAAAGGCGGCACAAGTCTCATGAGCCTGGAGACAAGTGCTACCAGCCAGGGACAGAGACTCCCATGCCCAAGAAAATAGGACATGGAAGGACAGAGCAAGATCATCTCCTCCCCTCCTTCCTTTTTCCTCATTTTTATTCATCTCTGTCTGCAGTACTTGGGAAGAGGGGAAATAGCAAGATTTTTAGTCCAGGATCTTTTTTGCTGAAGTCAGTCAGCTGAGAAGTTATCCCAGAGGACTGAGGATAATTGTCTCCTTTATTAGTGAGCGGGAAGGTAACACCCAAGATGAAGAGCTTCTGACCAGCCAGCCTCGGACAAAAGCCATCTCTTCCTCTAGGGGAAGAGTAAAGCACAGAAGAAGCTGTCAAGTCATGAGGCTGCAGCACTCAATGTCATTTTTGTGTTAACTCCTGCCTTTAACAAAGCCTCCTGCCACAGTCTGGAGATAGAGCATTGAACCTAGACTCACAGCTCTAAAAAAAAAAAAAAAAAAAGTGCCACAGCTCTGTACAGCCCCTTGAATAACAGCAAAATGGACTTGGTGGGTATGTGACTCCCTGGAGACTTGGGCCCTCCTGACTACATTCCCTACCGAGTCCCACTTTTTGTGTCTGATCCAGACAAGTCGGTTAACTTGCCCTTTGACACCCAGGGACAACAGCACTTCCCACTGAGAATAAATACACTCAAGCCCATGGACTTTCAGACTGTGATGACACTGTCCAGAGGATACAATCACAGGAGACATCTGACCCTGGATGGATGCGAGGAGCTGTTGCCAGCTGCACTGCAGTGGTTTTCACTGCTGTCCCCAACAGCCCAGCGGGGCTCAAGGAGCAGAAAAAAAATTTCTTACACCCTTTCTATGCTCAGAGCTTCCTTCAGCTACACAACAACATCGGTCTCTATTCCCAGTTACATCATGACTTCATTTTTCCATCCGAAGTAGCTAACTGTTGCTTCAAGAAAAATGTCAAAATCTGCCTGTTTTCTGAATGAAAACTTATAAGTCTCGGGCAGAGAAATAAAACCCTTCTAACACGAGCGTGATGGCTTACTGGTATTTCACTAAAATAGCAGCAGCTATTTGTGTGCAGTGTGTCTGTAACAAATAGGTTGGTAGAAAAACGCCGTCTTGCAAACACCATTCTTTTTCAACATTGCCTTTACAGCTTTGGAGGCACTGGCTGCTTTCACAGCCAAGTTTGCCACCGCTATGGAAAACGGGCTGCGCATGCAAGCCAGCTGAAGTCATGCAGACTGGAAAGGGCTAGGGCTGCTGCTGCTACCACTGTAAAAATGTTATTTGGAAACCGTCTTCTCAGAGAGCTGTATAAGGAATCAAAAAGCCATGGTAGGGATGCAGGCTTGATGCTTTTCCGTTTTTTAGCAATGACTAATACAAAAAAAAAAACAACCCAACAATCCAAAAAAGCTCTTATCTCAAAATAAACCATTTCTGCCCCTTGCAAAGGCATATAAGCAGGCAAGGCAGAATGGCCTTATATAGCTGGCCTAGTAATGTCCTCTTTGTTTCTGTATCTGAAGACCTTCTTTTGCATTGTACTCTCATAACCTCAACCAATTTGGATGGAGAATTCTTCCTCAGCTGCAAGGCAGAGGGATGTCCGTCTCCATTTCATCAGAAGAGCTGTGCAAGCACAACACAGAGAAAAGGCCACCATCAAAAATGTCAACAAGTCAGGACAGAAGTAATTAATCTAACAGAGGTAAGTGATGTGCAAGAAATACAAGCTTTTCAGTGTCTAAGGGAGCACAGAAGCATGTTTTAGAAGGAAAAAAAATGCAAGACATTTCTTCTACAGATTCATCCCTTATGTACAGCTGTTTGCTGGCTAATGAGGGTTGAGTCTGTAACTGCAGTTGGGTGTCCCTGTGATATCCAGCTGTCTATTTGCATGAGATCTGAAGGAGTACAATAATCCAGTTGGATGGTTTCAGTTATTGAACAAACAACAATTAAATGTGAGTGGAAATGTTTCTATTTCCTTAAGAGGCTTCACAGCATTAACTGCTTCAGATAAAAGGATGGAGTCAGCTCAATAAAGTTTTTGCATCTTGATCCCCAAAAGAAACACCATTTTTCAATAGCACAACTTCAGTTTCACTCAAGTAGCAGAATACACCTGTCGATGCTGACGCCAAATCTGAAGAGACATTCTCTAAAGTCTTTTTCTGTAATGCTTCTTCCTAAATGGTTTGTCCACCCTGCATCACATTGTCCACTTCATGACAAAGAGACCTTGTGAAAATGTTACTGCTTCAGGCAAACAAACAAGCCCCTAAATAACAGCAAAGTTTTCTTGGTTAGCTTTTTGCCACATGAGTTTTCTCTACAGGGTAACAACAGATTATAACAGCGCCAGACTTGTGCTGTTTCTCTACTCCAGCTAAATATGGCATTATTTCATTGTGTCGTAACATAATGCCAGTCCAGCTTCATAGGATTTTCTTAATCCAAAGCCAGTGTTGAAGTCCAGCTGACCTCAGATTTAGACAAACCTCAAGAACTTTGACTGTGAGTTTTCTGCAGTATTTGAAGATTTCACTCACCTCTCCTTTTTTTGGTATATTCCTACAAACTTCAGTGAGAAAAGATTGCTTTCATTCATAACACAGGAATTTCTAGAGAGTTCTGCACCACCTTAGGGCTTCAGTTTTGGGGGAGAGCAGATAAACAAGCAAAACGGCAGATACAGGCAAAAAAGGGTTCTAGCTGAAGTTTTGATATTCTGATCTATGACCTTAGGTGTAATCATGAGAGGCAGAAAGCATATTTGAGTATCTCTACACTTTGTAGATTCCCATCAAAAACAGTGACACGGAAGTTCAGGGAAACAATAAGAAATTCCAAGTAAATCTATTGGAGGTAGCAGCATCTGTTTGGTATATTGCACATCTTTCTGCAGAAGCAAAATTTCTTACCTTTAAGCAAATGAACCTTCTCAAAATCTTGAAAATTAGATAAGCCCAATACAAATGCAAGCCTTGAAGGATCAATAGCTGCCCATTGAATAAAAAATATGCTATGACAGGAGTTGTGGAGTAGTATGTAGGCTGATACAACGTGGCACGAAGAATCCTAAAAAAAATAAATATATATAATATATATTATGGTGCAAGATTTCTTCCCTATGCTATTTGCAACTATTTCTAATTTCATATTCCAAACTGATTATTTCAATAAAATATTAAAAAGCTCTGCAAAGATGACAGATTAATTAACAAGCCCTGTCTTAACCAGATTATGCATCTCTTCTAAAATACAGACTTCAGAAGATGAGAAACTTGAGTCTTGCATGAAAGTATTATAAATAAGCCTAGAAAAAATCCTGGTTTTTAAAATCTTGAGCTCTGTGTGGTCTAGATACTATGCAACTCTGAGTTTGACTGTGCCATTTTTTGTTTATTCAAATTCTTTCTAATCTGAAATCCACACTCCAGAGAAAATCCTACAGGCTGTGCAACAGGGCTTTTTGTTAATTAACGTATGCTTTGTTGTTCTTCAGACTTTACTACTTCTATATTATTTAGGGCTTTTTGAGTCCCTTTAATCTCATCGTGTTTTGCTTCCAAGCTCAAGAACAAGAAACTCAGCGAAGCAAAATGATTGGAGATCACGTGTATAGTTAATCGAAAAATAATAATAAAGTAAAAGACATCAGCATTTCTGAGAGAAAATACCACAGGAAATTAAAACCTTGTGTTAATCAACTTTCAAAACGATTAACCAGCTTGTGCCTCTAAGGGTTTGTCCACATGCATGGGGGGCCACGAAGGCAAACGAGAGCAAGTCAACCGAACTCCGAGTGTGGAACACATTAAGCACTTTTTAAAAGCTAAACACGCGGAGCATTAAGTGCACTAAGCATCCGTGTGGATATTCCAAAGCAGATTAAATCATAGCACTCCAACGTCATGTAATCAGCAAGTTATGATTTATTTGCATTGACTTCCTAAATTAATTGGTTCACCTGAAATTTTCTGAGTGTTCCTCACACGAGCGAGTGAGGTGAGGCATTGCCTAAGAACTAGGTAGCAAAAGAAGGCTCTACACGAAAACTAACTACAATCACGTAGGAATGACACTGTAATCTGACTTTGCTGCTACAGCAGAAGGGATGGAACGAAAGGGAAAATGATTTCTTCTAGTTAAGTAGCTCAATTGCCTTGAAAATGCAGGAGCTCATAGCATTTAATTACAATTTACAAAACCACGTTAAATAATACATAAAAGCCTTTATTTAAGTTAGCGTATTTTCAAGAGGCTCATTTAAAAACTATTTGTACTTAATTTTTTAAAGAAAATGACAGTTTTGGCCAACTCTTCTCACTGTCCTTTATTAGCCACCAATAATGAAAAATACTGTTTCTGCTCTTTAAAGTATAATCCATTCCTTTCTTCTTCCCAGCACCACCAATACTAATCTCTCCACAGAAATGGGAAGGAAAGAAAAGCCTGTGACTACATTAAATATTTCTTACCAGAAGGGGAACAGGATGATTCTTGTGATGAAGAACACAATGGAAAAGATGATAAAGAGCATATTGCAGGTTTTCTCCCAGTGAGCATAATTAAACATCTTGGCTGCCTACATTGAATAAAACCCATCAGATACAAGGCAAACACTCTCTGAAATACATTCCTTTCTGCATTTTCATAAACAAGGACTCATCTGCCACGTAAGCAGGAAGAAAATTTCCTCCCAGTTTGACGTTTAAAGCAATCATTTTATTGATACCTAATAAAGAATTATCAAAACAGATCCTCTGCTTATATTTCTCCTTTCATCTTTAAATATTCTGCATCAAAGGTCTAGAAGGACAGCTCTCTGAGCAGAATATAAAAACTGTCACGAAAACACTTGAAGGAAGAAGTAGTCCCCCATTCTTGCCAAAAAAACCAACAACCCTGTATGTACACGTTTAATTTGGGCCAATCCAAACTGAATGACCCCATGATAAGTTCTTCCAATACAACGGAGAGATTATCAGGAGCAGAAACAGTGACACACAATAGCCTGCAAGGGCTGCTCACGCTGGCATTGCCACCAAAAGAGGTGATGAAACCATGCTCTCAACCTTGGTGTTATAAACTCAGGGGAATTCTATTAAAGGAAACGTATTTGTCTTCCAAGAAACCCAGCAGCAAGTCTCTACAACCAAAGCACTGCATAGAACAGAACACTTCTTAATCTCAATTCTAAACATTTATATTTAGTTCAGGGAAGGGACTTCCTCTTCAGTTTGCCGGAATAAACTTTTCTTCTGCCAGTAGATACCTGTGATATCTTGCTCAGGGACAGCTTGAATGTCTCCAGCCATAAGCGTATAATGTAGATGTACACCTTGGGTCAACACAAGGGTGTGAATGTTGACAAAATGAAGCCAGTTTGGAGAAGGAGACAAAATTTTGGCTGCTAAATTTGCTTGAGAATTGGTACCATGACAAGCTGTTCACAGGCTAGCCAACTTGGTCTAATTTAGTAGCAAAACAAGAATAATCCAGGGAGGCAGCTGTATTTCCAGTCCCTGTTCCGTACTGAAGTAGTTCACTTCTGGTTTTTTCTCATAATGGATTTTGTAACAGAGTACCAGTTTAAATTACCCAGAAGCTTTTTATCTTACAGTTTAGGAATCCACGTCTCTGTGGCGATAGGAAAGGATCATATTGAACTTATGGCAGAAAGATTAAAATATCAGTGAGTGCAACCTGGGCACAACCAAAAAAAAAAAAAAACCGACAACAAAAACCAACCCCAAAACATCAACCAAAATGCCCAAAACAAAAAAGATGGGCAGGGTTACCTCAAGCCAGAAATCTGCAGTATCGTGCACAAACATCACCAGCGTTCCAAGGCGCACGTAATTGCCACACCAAGAGCCACTCATCAACCCAATGGCAGCCAAGTGATGAACGACATGAGCCAGAAAATCCTGTAGAAGAGAGAAGATTAAAAAAGAAAAAAGAAAAAAAGGTATATCCAAGCAAGTGCAGGCCTTGAGGGTCTCCGTGTGGATGAAGTGACGAGCAAGACTTGTCACACACAGAGATGTCCTGGCAGCCGGGAGAGCACGGTCTGCAGGTGTGCCAGGAATAGACTGATGCTGCCCTCACGTGGCTGCACCAAACCCAGGATTAGGACAGGTCTTTTCCTTCCAAATATTTTTTTCCTCCCTCACAGAAACAGAGGTTCTAGTTACAAATAAGCATGACCACTTGCCTTCCTTCTGTTGTCAATTCCAAGGGTAAATAAGAGAGACCAGTAAAACCCAATCTCAGCCATGTAGTACCAATACTGGGATGGCAGCAGAGTCTGCAAGAAAGAAAACCACAGTTAACTCTGGGAATAGCAAAAAGCAAGTGCCAAGTGAAATTACTTCTTTTTTTCCTATCCTCACTTCTTTTGCTCCTCTGCTGTGCCTTGCTTAAAAAATTAAACTAAACTAAATCCCTGTTCTGGGCTTCATTAAGAAGGATGTTCTGGGAGCCAAATATTTTAACCTTTACTCAAATCGAACTCTTAGTTTCTGCAGTTCCTCCCCCACCTCTGAATCGTAGCATGCTTTTCACCATGTTTTTGTCAGAGAGCTACACGCAGAGCCCTTCTGCATTTAATTACAAACAACCGCAAATAAACAAAGCCCTCCATTTTGGCAAACAATTAACATTTTAAACATTCACACATCCGATGACTAAAATGTCAGCTATTTATGCTAAAATCCTATGCATCTGCTTAGTGCTAGAGGCTGAGCTTGGCTGCTCCCTCGGTTCCATACATTTCCCATGTGGCAGGAAGTAGGCTTAGTTATCAGGTCCTATGAGCAAGAGAAACTGGGAAAACTCCTCTGGGAAGTAAGATTCTTTTTATTCTTGGCCCCCAAGTAGGACAGGGATAAGAAGGCAGCGTGATGAGCTGCAGATTTACAAAAATATGAGTAGGGGGCACACAAGAACCTCTGGCAGGTGGGCAAAAAGGCCATTTGCTTAGAGTCATCTGTTCTGAGACTGTTAGTAAAATATTTTAGGACGAAGTGAGAACCTTGTGACTCTTGGGAGCACACAAGCAGAGATCTCCAGAGCAGGGACTCACTACGCCAATCCAAATCACCGCAGTGCTCCCTCCACATGCTCTACTGAGCCACAGGGCCCAGCAAGCACACAGGCTCAGCGTAACCCTCTGCAATAAAGCTCTTCTGCTGTGGCTCGAAGCATCATCAGGCCCAGCGCAAGCTCAGGCATTCTGCACTAGAACCCCAACACCGATAACATCTCCTGTGCGCAACCGGTAACCGGGGACGGGTGGAAATAACAGCGGTCTGGCTGGAGGGATGAGTTGCAGCACCAGCAGATCATGGAGAAGTCCTGCAGCAGTCAACAGGAGGTACCGAAGAAAGGCAAAAGGCTCTGGTGCCGCACCTTTCTAGGTGGTGCCGGGTGGGAGGGAGAAGGGCTTCTGTGGATTACCCCTTTCAACAGGGAAATACTTGAAATGCCTCCGGGCCAATGGCCCAATGCCAAAAAGCTTACCTGAAATGGATAGCCAACCCACGTCTGCCATATGTCGTAAAACCAAGGTTTCTGGGAAAGACAGATGATTCAGAGACTGATCAGCTGAGCAACAATAAGTCACCTTAACTCAAAATCTTCAGTACTCAAAATTTCTAAGTGGAGCAGGCTAAGAAGCTATAGTCTTGATGACCATTCTCCACCAATTTCTAAAGGGATCTTAAATCTCAGATTTATTATATTGGTCCCAGCTTTTTGGCTACTTTTCAGGACACCTGAAATGTTCCAGTTGATCATTTCATCATCCAAAGCAGTGGGTGTGTGTTTTATTACTGCAGTTACTCAAGATACGTTGCCACAGCGATTAGATTTTGCTGTGTTTACCAGTCCCACACACCGCTGGCTCACGGTGATAAACAGTGTTTGGGGAGAAGAGCCAGATGAACGCAGACACGCTGAGAACTGTTGGGCTGCTCAGGACAAGAATTAATGACACCCCAGGCAGTGCTCACAGAGTTACAAGCAGCACTCTCTCTGTTATTCCCAGCTTCTGAGTCGGCAGCAACACCTCAATAAATAGCCACGAAATACACCATTGTTGTGACCCCCAAAAGTGCTGCCAGAAAAGGTTTATGGCCTCCTCGGAGAAAAAACATGGCCATGTGATGCATTTGTAGGTGTTAACAGGCAAGTTGTAAAGCCATCTTGAAACTTGCCTTAAAAATACTGGTTGCTCATAAATTACCTTAGCACAGAAGTTCAAAAGAGAATTTCAAAATTAAGCAAAACCTCGGTGCACATTGCAGCCTCTCATCTAGATTACATATATCACAGATCTGAACCCAAAGAAAATGACTGAGTCTTTTAACAGGCTTCAACAAGATTAGAAACCAGTCCTTATTTTGTTAAACATCTAAGAATATCAATCCTTCAAAAAATTAACTTACATCATAGAGAAATATAAATCCAGCAATGGAGGATGTAAGATAGAATGAAAATCGCCAGCTGCAAAATTAAAATGAACAAATAAGAACAGAGCGTCTTGAGCTAGAATTACTGCAATCACTGTCTGTATATCACAGACAATCTTCACATAAATGCGCCCTCACACTCTACATTAAGGGTTGACCAATATTAACTATATCCGAATTATTAACATTTAACTACTTAAGCTTTGACTAATTGCTAAAGAAATAAATTAATTTACATTATCACAATACAAGTACCCTGACTGTGATTACAGTAGTAATTTTCCAGCCAGGCATGATCTCATCAAGAGCATGGTCACAGCAAATGTAATAAACTCCCTAAAATGAATGTTCGATAACAGCAACATTTCCTGCTGTATCAATCCCTCAAGAATATTCACAGTGGCCTAAGAACATCTCACAGTTTCCTGACCCCAGAAGGTCTTTCAGCCATGTGGCACACACTTTCCAATCCAATGATACACTGGGAGCGCCTACAATGACCGATGTCAACTGCTGAGTTAATTTCTCTTGATCTGTCTTAACACTGATTACTGAAAACAGGGCAGCCCCTCAAAACTTTAACAACTACTGGACTGGTTTATGTCTTACTACAGAGGTCTGAATTAACTATAAACCTCAATCTTTCACTGTGTTTGCCAGCACTTAGCCTGATCTAAGTTTTTGGGGCCTTAAACAGATATCCATCAAAGCAGATAAAACTTCCAGGGTTTCACCACTGATCTGTTAAGTCAGCAAAGGGGAAAAAAGTTCTTGTGTATCTCAGCAAATGATGTTGTTGCTTCTGTATGTCAGAGCAGGATGCGGTGATGTGGAGCCAGCAATCAGCACTGTAATGACTCCAGAGCCTGCGTGGGAGGTATTGTCCCGGGGAATGGGTGCGGCTGGAGACTCAGTCGGAGCATTCTCACTCCCACCTCTACAGGTGATGGAAAATTTCTTCCTTTCCACTCTTCCCCTTGGCAGGAACACATTTGACCTTTCCCAGAGCAGCTCTTCAAGATCAGTAGGAAAACACTGCAGAACTCGACACGCTAAGAAAGGTCGTGATCACGGGAACAGGCGCGTAGCCCCACACCCAGAGTGAACTTTGTATAGAACAAGAGATATCCTGGCGAAGAGCAGCAAACAGCCTCCCAGAACCTCTGAAGAAGGACAGAGAGGTTCAAGAATTACACGGCACTAACAGGTTGAGAGATGTATAAAAATGAGATTGTGGTCTTTGGCAAACATTAGCGAAGTGCCACATGAGAGATGATGAGGAGAACCTGTCTGGTAAAAGCAGCCCTTCCTTTCTGAGCCCTACATTACCTGGAGGCTGATACCCCAGGTGAAAGAATGAGATGTTCAACAGCTGAGCCAGCGTTTTACAAGAAAAGCAAACAAACAAAAGATCAGGACAACTAACACTGCAAAACACCCACTGCACAGACAGAAAAATTCAAAGGGATGTGATGAAAATTAGGAGAGCCCAGGGAAGGGGAGAGCAGAATCCAGGAGTAATAGCCAGCTCAGAGTTAACCAAGAGATGCCAGGAAAAACAACCCTGCAGGTCTCTTCAGCTTGGAGGAGGGGTGACCCTCATTAATGTTTATAAATATGTAAAGGGTGAGTGTCAGGAGGACAGAGCCAGGCTCTTCTCAGGGACGTCCAATGACAGGACAAGGGGCAATGGATGCAACCTGGAGCACAGGAGGTTCCACAAGAACATTAGTAAAAAAATTCTTTAACGTGAGGGTGCCGGAGCCCTGGCACAGGCTGCCCAGAGACGTTGTGGAGTCTCCTGCTCTGGAGACTTTCAAAGCCCACCTGGACACGTTCCTGTGTGACCAACTCTGGGTGATCCTGCTCTGGCAGGGGGGCTGGACTGGATGATCTCGAGGTCCCTTCCAATCCCTGACATTCTCGATTCTGTGGCATGGGACAGACTTCACACTGAAGGGCTCATTCTGCCCTGAGGCCTCCTCTTTCATGCAAGTGAGGTGCGAGCAGCCGGTCAACGTAGCGGGACTGATTCTGCATTGACTGTAAAGTGTAAGTGGTTTTCTGAATTGGATCCAAAGCACGAAGCACCTAAGAAGACTGTGCCATTAGTCCCCAGCCCTACTAATATATATTGGACACACGTGGCAACAAACACTCTGGGCTTCAGATAACTCGCTATATGTGCAACACTGCCAGAGCACTACCTCATTTTGCATTTAGCCAAGCTTCTTTATGAATTTGGTGAACAAAACCTGAAGTAAAACTCGTCCAAAGTCACCGATTTTTACCCGAGTGCCTTTTAAAAGCTCTAAACCTGGCCACCAGGCAGAGCACTGAACAGCAGCTACGCAAAAGAATTTTCTGATTTAACTACAGGAATCTTTTCTCTTGAACTAAAAAGAATTTAGCAGGTGAAGTTAAAGGCTGGCAAGTCTTTTAAGGCAAGGAAAGTTTCGTGCAGAGGGCTTTCCAAACTCCAGTGTTGCTTAACTGGGAGCACTAATAGCTTAAGTATGGTTTAGATCTGGCTCATCAGATTTTCCTTGTGATTCAGAAAAATGATCCTGGAGATTGCAGGCTTTCAAAAGTTTCATAATGCTTGTAACAGTGACTGCTAGCGTGGAATAACTCTGTTCGTCGTTTGTTGCCTTGAGAAATGCATCCAATTATATTCAGTAACAAAGAGCAGAATAAGGTTCACAAAATTGCACAAGAGAAACCTGTTTGCTTCATTCTCACTTGAGCTGCTGAGCAAGTTTTAGCTTCAGTCTTTGGCTGTGTGTTACTAGAGACATGCACCCGTGGCAAGCAGGTCTTATATCAACAGCAAGAAATCTTACTGTCATTTGTAAACACCAAGTTAACTGGTCCACAAAACCAACACAGAGTCAGCTTACTCAACTCTGACTTATGAGACACACATCTATGTCTATCAGCTGGCTTTATGCCCAACAGAGGACATCATCAAACCATCGTATTGATTCACACTGAAAATAATCTTGAAAAAAAAAAATCAAGTTTGAGCTTTTAACACTCATTCCTTAAGCTAATCTACACAAAAAAAGAGGTTAAATATTATAATCATGTGCATTTTTGCCAAGGTAATTATGCTACTCAAAATCCAAATATAAAAGAAAATTAGGAAAGTGTTTTACACTGGTACAGTTAATTTCAGTATCCAAAAGGAATGAGCTATGTAAGTAAAGCCCTGCCCATTTGGGGATTCACAATTTGTATAAGATTTTGGGTAACAATAGAATAGTTATCAGTAAAATGTTTAGGTCTGGGGAGGTCACAGAATCAAAGAACGGCCTAGGCTGGAAGGTCTTTGCATATTTGTGAAAAATGAGACTTTTGAGTGAAAATTAGACCAGAATTAGGCAGAAGGTTTTGAAACTCTTTACATATTCACTATTATCCCTCAAAACTGCCCAACAGCCCACTCCCATCAGTGCATCTGAGCTCACGTTTTGCACAGTGCTCCATGTTCAAGCTATCGTTCAGTTGGGAAGCCACAATTCCCGCTCTTGAGTTGCCTTCTGTACATGGCATCCAAAACAACAGCATGGGTACGTACATACACAAGAGTGAGTAGTTTTGTTCCCCTATGATTACTGGCAAACAGAAGAAGTATTTTCCTATTCTCTTCATTAAGCACTATGTAGGAGGAGTCTACAAATAAGTCCATTATTACACACTGAAGAAAAATTGTAAAATATTGTGAAGGTGGGTTTTTTTCCAGGAGAAACTGTTAACCTAGTCTTTTAAAGTCATGCCACTTGGAGAAACACTGCTAAAACCTTCCAATTTGTTTGTGTACGCAGAAACCAAAACCCTCAGACAGTCCCAGCTTTCTGGAAATCTGTTCCCCTTACAAGGCACCTGAGGACCTCAATCATTTTTTTTTTTTCCCCCCAAACAGTAAAACCAATAATAATTAAAAACCTGTTTTTTCTCTTACAAAGCTTCCTGGAATTTCCGCAGCACTGTTGGGATCTCAAGGTTTCGTCGTCTCCTAAACCATTTTTCCACCAAACGGACAGTACAGTTGCACTTTTTGGCAAGGCCTTGAATATCTGACTGCAAAAATGGAACAGTGTTAGCAACAAGACGCGCTCCCATGTAACTTCCATTTATTTTGTCGTTCACAGATCAGCTTCCCACTGAGGTCTTAATTTAAAAATGTTACTAATATTAACTATCTATGGGAGTTTATCTTGCAGGCTCCCTGGTTTAATTTTTGCGTGACGCTCACAGAAATCCCGGATGTTCAAGATGCTAATTTATATAATCAGGAAATACACACGTCCACAAACTGTGCAATTGTCTTTCTGGTAGCTTCTGATAGTTTCAAAGATGCAACTTTTAAGTTAAGCAAGAGGTTGCGCTGGAGGAGGAAGCGCCATGTGTTGACATACCTACCTAATTATAATTAATTATTAGATTATATTTAAATAAGTTTTGCAGGTGAGACATGGGCCTGCCATTAAGGTGATCCAAGCTGTGTTTTCAAATCCAATGTACTTCTGTGGTACAGGGCAAGCCAGTTAATCTTACTGAGTGAAATCCAGACTGCCTTTTGACACCTAGAAATAAATTAGGACTAGAGAGTTGCCAAGAAATACATCCAGCCCTTCACGTGCGACAGTCAAGTGTCTGTGCCTGACGTGTGCTCTGAAGGTCAAGTGGCTGCGCCGTGCAGTCACGATAGCAGATGCTAAGCTCGAGGCACAGCAGCTCCTGAATTTCTGGGTGCTCAGTGCCCAGTGCTGCATGCAGCAGCCTCAAGGCTTCCTCCCTCTCCATCCTGACGAGAGGAAGGTGTGGGATGACCTCCCCTGGGGCTGCTGCAGGAGAGGAGGCAGTGTTGGACTCATCCCTGGGGAAGTTCCTTCCCTGCCAGGCCAGTATGCAAATTGTGGGTGGCAGTGGTGCTGCCTCCACCAAGGTAAGTCCAGTTTAGTTAGTCTCCTACCCTGAGAGAAAGCTCTGGTATGTGGGTGAAGGCACCTCAGCTGCCGGGGAGGGCAGGAGTGCAGACAGCCTCTGTGCCCAGCCCACCCTGCTGGCTGGGAAGCTCTCCACTTGCCAGGCAGGAATAATGACTATTTTGATGGAGAATGGATGCCCTCAATCCAATAGCCAGGCCTCTGCGTGGTTTTTCAGGCACATTGGTCTCCAAGCTGGACACCTAAAGGAGGCAGCCTCAGTCTTTTCCAGGTACTGACAAGCATAAAAATGCTGTGTTTCCTTTCTGAGAATAACTGTCAAATGGTACTCATGCAGAAGGCAGGTAAGAAACAGAGAGATCAGGATACTTGCCCAGACAGAGAAGAGCTCATATGTGAACACGAATACATCTATTCCTGATGATATCAGGCAAAAGAAACAGTAAGAGAATAGGAGAGTTAAGGATAGAAAGCCAAGTTCCACGTAGCAATAATTATCAACACTTCTCGTTACTAGAAAGCACATACTTTTCAAAAACTGTGTAGGAACACTGAGATTATTTGGTAACTGTAGTCACGTAAGTGAACTTTCTGAGGCTACATTCATATCAAAGTACCTTTTTCCCATCAACAACCAAGTAGCCTCATTTTTTGAGATGGTAAACATTGGCTATAATTTTTTCTCTTGTTCAATTTTAAAAAAAAAAAACCAGCAAGGTAATAGAAAGATTGTTTTTCTTTCTCACATAAGCCAGGATTAAGTACACAGCAATACAACGGATCAAAAGGCTTCCATGCCAGCATTCCAATATTATTGCTTGCAGTAAACATGATACCAATTTCCAACAACAGATGTCAGCTGATGTTTTCTCCAGGCGGAATGAGTTAAAGATGGAACACTGATCTTCACTGGAAATATTAACAGTCTAACCTAGAATAGCATGCCAGAAAATTAAACATCTTAAACATATTTTGTGTTTTGGATGCCATACACCCTTGTCAGCAGAACAGCAACAAAAACCCAAATAAATTAAGTCATCTGTCAATCAGCTGGAACTCATCCCATGATGTCATTGCTGATAGCTGATTGAAACAGTAAGACTTGGGATTTTCCAAAACCAAAACTAGCTTCAAAAGAATGAGAGTCCTTACTTGGGATGGATGTTTGGAGCACTCCCGGAAATAACTCTCTAAAACAGGATTAGGCTGTGGCTTCACACGTCTTACATTCTTTATACCTAAAGCTTTTGCTAGAGGTATAGCAACATATCTGAAAAGACATAGCATGAAAAACTTTAAAAATACAACACAGTTACAAGACCTCAGCTATTTTCTCATGGCAGCATATGAAGACAATAAATGCAAAGCAATTTAATCTGCTCTAGGATATGACCCTGCACTGTGAGAGAAAGAAACCTCCCTCTAGCTAATCCCAGGAGAGAACCATCACGTATCAGCAGTTATGCAAAAAAAACAGACCCAAGGACTCAAGTTTGTGGTGATGCAATGCTATAAAATGAAAGGAAATATCCTGATTTTTGTGTCCTTGTGCTTTTCAGAGGCATGCTGGAGTTAAGCAACGAGTAAGGGAGAATGAAACAATAACAGATGCTCTCTCCACGTGAGCTGAAAAACTGCTACTGGGATACTTTGTCCTAGCTGCAGATAGTCACTCAGCACATTGCTTCACAGGGCTACCACTGATTTGGCTTGTGGCCTCCAGCTTGTGGCACACACCAACTCCCCCAGAGACCAAAGGCTTCTCTTTCTCTTCCATTTTCCAACGCAAATCGCTGCAGAGCGTGCCAAATGTTCTGCTCTTCTTCTTGGGTAGGCTCTTCTACAGAAGTCCCACTCACTCCCGCTGGTATCAGCAATTGATACCTTATTACTCATAACAGCGGTCAGTTTTCCTCTTTAATGGGCAGATTCACTGCAGGCCAGATGTGTGGGCTAATTACTCACAGGAGTAATTTCCAATAGCAGCACAGTGAGACACAGTTGGGCAAGCATTTACTGAGAATGGTTATAAACATATGATCCAAATTACTTTTGATCTCTAATACGAATGATCTTATCTGGTTCTGTTTTCAAGTCTGTCCAACTTATGACATTCCAAATTTCCTCATTCTATCCTGAAATAATTATAAAAAACTACTAATCACATTCTTTAGAGCAATAAAACCACCAAAGGTCAAGCAAGAAAGACAAATATAAATATGTCAAAGCATTGCAAATCTGAATATATCTGTATCTTTCTTCTGTGGAGCCAACTTCTGCCTGTCCCGCAAGATTCCAGCTGCAGAAGCAATCCATCAGTGCCAAAGTGAGAAAAAAAGGAATCAGCATTATTAGATCTGCAAAAAATGTTCAGATGAAACTCTGAGATTCCTCTGCTCCACCTAGTTTTGCTGCAGCTAGACACTTGGGGTCTATCAGCCTCACATAAATGGAGAACCAAACAAAAGTAGAGGTTTGGTTTGGAGGATGAACACCTCCACCCTGCCACTAAAGGAGAAAAAGCAAAAGGAAACCAGAATGGTTTTGTATTAATCGAATCTCTAGGGGAAGAGGATAATTGGAATTGTCCACATGCATCTCTAGGAAAGCTAGATAGAAATATTTTCTTTCTAGATTGGACCACAGCCACATGTTTTTAATAGTGAAAATATTTCCCATTTTTTCACCTGCCAGATTATCTGTACTAGATCTTTTGAGCAAACCGTCAACTAATCCTCCTTTAGAAAACCAAAAGCACATTGATCTAATGATATCTTATTATTCAAAAATTTGTAGCATTGAGAAGGATTAACATTACCATTAATTTGCTTTTATGTTTCTTACCTTTCACTGAGGAATCGGATAATCAGCAATACAAAGGCATACGGGATCGTGGCATATAACTGTTGTGGCTTTGGAAAGACAAGTCCATCACGGTCTACAAAATTTTCCCATGTGCAATTGATAGGCATCCAGATGTTCTCCCACCAGAACCAGCTGTTGAGCGTCTTTAGTACGTGCGCCATGCTAAGCAAAGAAAGAGATAATTAAAAGTTACTCCCTCTGCATAAAAAATAAAACATATCAAATAAAACTTATCAAACCCCGTTGTGCAAAATGGTAGTTCCCAGCTGGCAGGACATTTCCCAGAGAGAAGGAACAAGCAGCTGAGGCAGCTCAGGTCCCACCAGAACTCAGTCGGTTTAGAGTATGCAGGTGGGATTAAAATCTAGCAGAACATAAAATAATAAAGGTAAATTTTGAGCTGGTAAAAACCAATGCAAGACCTTCAAAATCCAACAGGTGGTGGTAATCGGCGGTCTCATTTTGGTCATTTGCACCAGACTGCTTAGTACCCAGTCAAATCTCTCACAATAATCATTTATAATCACCCCAATACACAAAAGATACGAGAGAAAACTGATCCTCCCTAGGCTGCCTTCATAAATTCAATATAAGTGGACGGAGGAGTGGAAAAGAACCGAGAAAGTTCTGGGGGTGACTCGGTTCCATAATAATGAAGACATTTGCTGTTGAATTACTGCTGTTCAATACACTAATGGCAATATACACCTCGATCCTGATTTTGCAAACACCTGCGCACAGGATCAAGTATAAAAGTTACAGAGTATAGCCAACTTTTTGAGGGATTTGCAGGAAATACTATGATGTAACTGTGACCAAATCCTAGATCATAACAAAATGTGTAAAATAAGCTCTGGAAGAAAATAAATTAAAAAAATATCACCTGAGCCAAAACACTTCCTTCTTGTAAAAGCCTCATTTTTAACCTTTGCATTCTACACTATATATTTAGAAATTTCTGTTATCCCTCATCAAGTTGTAAGGACTTTACAGTACAAATATGTTATATATGTCATAAAAATATTCTAAAATTGAACAGAAATAGAAGTCACTATAGTGTTTTCCATAAGGCTGAAATAAGTCATTTTGCTATAATTTTTAGTAATAATAGATTTTAACAATCTTTTCCGTACCAAAACCTCCTGTAAACCAGAAAATAAAATACGAGGAAATAACTGATATCACTGAACCATAATTTCAATGAGGAAACAGTTGAGCTGGGAGAATTTCAACCAAGTCTCCTTGTAGCGTTGGATGTCCCACTGAAAGATCTCCCAGCAATCTATTTGCACAGGATCAAGCCATAAGATCAAATCATGCTGAGGACAGACACTAGTTCAGGCCCTTTCATGTTCCTCCAGATCTGTGCAGGGGCCACACAACGTTAATTCTGCACCCAGGCATGCTGTATCAGGACACCACAGCTCAGCACACTCCCTCTGGCTTTCCTGGTTCAGACACGGCTGGCTCTGAAACCCAATTTAATCAACAGCTCGATGAGCAATTGCTGTCACCTCGGCTGCTAAAGATGAAGTTTTGCAGCTGGTTTGTGAAAGGGTGACTTGTACCCATCGAGCAGAGCCGGGTTAACAGACACCGCGAATCCATTTCCTGGCCGAGCACAGTAGTCGGTATTGAAATATTAATAACCAAGCCATTTAATCTTTTTAAATGCCGAAAGGGGACAGTAAAAACCTACTGAATGAATTATGTGTGTATAAGTACAGGCAAAAATAAAAGAGGGAGAAATCACAATTATTCCTGCGCTGAGACTTTATATGCCGAGTTTCAGCCTAGAGCAATTTTTTACTGCTCTATTATAAACTCCTGGAAGTAGGGATTTATAATGGGGCTGCTAACAGACCCTTAACTACAGCTAGCAGGCGCCACGGTAATGAAGCAGGGCTTTGAAACATGACATTTTAGGTCAGACAGAAAGGCTTGCAAACTGCCCTGGAAGACCAAGGGAGAGACTCATTACACAGTTTTGCTTCCTAATATATAATCTATATTTTTTAATTGCCCTGTGCATTGCAAACTATCACTAACTGTAACAAAAATAGGCCAGTGTAGTACAACACTGTGGACAGAGTGCTAACAGCTGGGTTATGGTGAGATGGGTTGTGACTGACTACGTACCCAAAACACTGAAGCCCTAGAAAAATCCTAGAGTGCATATATTCATATCGGATTCTTGGGGTCCCCACTAATTCAAGTTTTCCTTCCACACACTGATGCTTTACCGTATGACTGCCTTTTCAGGTCTTAAACTAATTAATACATCTCTATTAAACTAAGCTCATAAGCACATGCTTAATCTTAAAATGTAAAGGGAATCCTGGCATTTGGGGTCTGGTCCAGAGTCCACAGATTTCAGCAGAAATCCCTCCTCACAAATATCAGACAGACTTACAGAAAGGTGGGATCTCTGCAACTCTTTCTTCTGTAATTCCCTGTAGCTATACCAGGTCTTGCCCAGCACACAGGGGATTAGACCATCAGTGACAAACATTGTCCAAGTAATTATCAGAAAACTGTTGATGAGCTTCCACATCTGTTTGCAGCCTATCCTTAGGTTTCATTACCCTTAAACTGGATGTTCACCCTCACACCCAACCTATGCTTCCACTGCAGCCATCGTGGAGATTTCCATCTTCATAATAGCAGCTGCTTAAGTAGTTGGGCTGTTTTCCTGATTCCCTTTATCTTTCGTTCTCATGATGAGGTTCCCGGAGCACCTGAAAAGTGAGGAATTCCTTCCAAACACACCTGGGCAGCACTGACACAGGTGTTTTAGTTTCTCTTTCTACCCTCTTGCTCTTCAATGGCTACCAGCTGTGGCTGTGACTGTGTGACTGTGTGACTGTGTCTGACTTAAAACAGAGATCCTGAAACATATAGAAACTCCACAAATATTATTTTGTCACATGTATCGTAGACAAGCAGGGTTCTCTTCTCTTGTATTGCAAATAGGCCGTGGCCCTTTCAGCTTGCGGAGAAGTATCGCACACAACCCACACGTAGTTTGCACGGTTTTCTGCATGAAAAGGAAGCTGACACCTGACAGAAGTCTCCATCTCAGGAAGCATCACTCAAGGCAAATAAAAGACCTGGCAACAGCTCAGCACTAACGTCAGCATCTCCTTATGCACCAATAGATGCCTGCTACTTCCTAGAAACTTCGATTAAAATTAGTATTAGAACTCAACTACACTTTTAAAAATGAAGCCATTTATTATCCCATCCCCTCTGCCAAGAAGTTCTTCCAATGCTCCCACAGCATCACTCACACAAATAACCCGGCTTTGTGGTTTATTCACAACATCTACAGTAAACAACGTCCCAAATACTCATCTTCATTTTCAGCTTTCTCCACGTTATGACTTGACCACTTCATTCTGAATTATTTACTTTGAATCCCTTCAGCCCTAAAAACAATGGCTGTCTAAATCGTGAAAGAAGAGGCCAGGGGTTGGAGAAAAGGAAACAGAAAGCATCCAGGTCAGCTGTCTCTAGCAGGCTTTGTCTGTAAGAAAAACTACAGCTGCCATTTGCTTATCTCTTCTCCCTCCGATTACCAGCTGCCTGGGACAGCTGTGGCAGAATGACTTCGCAGAACCCTTAAGCCCACATCTGTGTCAATTCACCAGGCAGAGATTGCACAGCCAGACAGATCAAACTCTGCTTCCACATCACATCAGGTTAAAGGCACCTTGCCAGTGCCATAGGAGAGAAAAAAAAAATCCTATTATTGCTTGCATGCCACTTTTTCTGAAAAAAAAGGTTTTGCCCCCACAAGGGCCATTACTCTTGCTTATTACACACAAACCAACCTCAAGCACTCGCATAAATTTTAAGTGACATCTCTACTGCTTAGCTTTGATTTTAACCCAAAGATTTTTGGCAGTTTGTTAAATCCTAAGGAAGGCCAGTAACACTTTGGACACACAATCTTACAGTGAGAACACCTCTTCCGAGCGCCCGCAGCGTGAGTGGGAAAGGGAAGGCACCCACCACAGGTCCTCTGGTGGAAGGCACTAACAAAAAAGCAGAATTCTTTCAGCTGCCCTTTCTGCCACGCAGGCCTATGGGCAGGGATGGTGAGGTGGATAGGCATTTCCTCAGAGAGTGCCCGAAATCTGGGTGGGAAACAGGAGAACCAGTTTCTTATCGCTTGGGTGAGCGAGGCATGTTTTGCAACAAGCTCGTTTTACCCTGCCGAGACATATTGGCCTCTGTGCAGCTTGGCGAGTGCAGTGCCAGGGACCCAGACTTGCTCGGCTCCTAGGGCATCTGCGTAAAACTCGAAGATGGTTACGTTCATCAGGAGCTTGTTACCACACAAAGGAATGTATTCCAGAGTAACCACAAGTGGTGGCAACCAGTTTCAGGGCTGGCAACAGGCTCTAGGTACTGGATTTCAAAGGCAGCTGATCTGTTTGCACGATCTGTCACGAGCTGTTATCCTCCCCTCACACACACTCCTCTCAGAGAATAGGCAGCAGATGCAAAGGACCAGCTTGTTCTGATTTGGGACCAGCTCTAACAAGAAACCTGAAAGCCCACCCAGCCTGAACCTCCTATTGCTAAGAGCGCTGAACCCAGAACTTTTTTTCCTTACAGCTTTTAACAGCACAAAGCAAGGAGTGAGAAATGGCAACAGCTGAGTGACCTGCATTCTGCCCAACCCAGGGTAAAAAACCTCTCCCTGCTTCTTCCCAGATTCCTACCCATACACCGGGACCACCAACCTTATTTTTATTGACAAAACTGGAATCACTGTTCTTGCCCTACAAGGGTCTAAAAGTCAGTCTAGCAATAAAATAAAGATACTTTCGAAAACTGGAAATTTCCCCTGCGCCTTGGAAATGAAATACTCCAAGTAAAGAAACCTAATCACCTCCTTGCTAAGGCAGGATCTCCTCTGTAGCCTCATCGCATTTTAAATGGGCTAGTGCAAAACAGGAAAATCAGGAATGATTACTTCAGGAGCTGCATCCTTTATAATTAAAGGAAAGCTTGTACAGTTGGGAAGTACCAATGTAGTTTCTTCCAAAGCTCTGTTCCTTGGGTCCGTGATATATTTGATTAAACTAAAAAAAAAAAAAATAAAAATCAAATTTTTAGTATCATTAAGGAAAAAAAAGGGGGCAAATTTTGG